ATACGTAATTGCTCCATTCTTATACAAATTATTATTTTTTATATACAGAAATAAATTTCCTCTCCTAACAGATACCAAAAAAGCTCAAAACTTTGCATTTCATTCAAGCTGGTGCACAAAGACATTTGCTCTTAAGGTAATATCCCAGGAGAAGTTTTAAGTTGGAACAAACAACACCCTCCCATGCAAAAAAAACCCAAAGTAAACAGAAAAGTCATTTTTCTAAGTTATGCAACCAAAGTCAATAGAACTTTGTTTTAAAAGTTCGTCAAAACCATGGAAGACATAAGACTATAGAGCAAAATATTGAAATAAAACTTACAATTCAACTGTGACATTTCACATGAAACAATTTCAGATAAGTTGACAACACCTTGACAATGAACATCACTTACTTCATCATAGTAACGAAGCTACAAAACCAATTAATTTGTGAAAACACTGACATCGTAAAATGTTAATGCTAAGGACAGCAAATTGCACTGAACTAGAAATAAGTGCATCGAATATTTTGCACAGCTTAAACTTTGCAATTTTCACCATCAAAAGTCACAAGCTTTAAATCATGCACCTCCCGTTCTCAGAAGTTCTGTTAACAATTCCATGCTCTGTCAGTAATGTTACGATTTTTAAAATGCAAGTTTTGTTACTCTTACTTTTAACGTGATGTCACAAATAGAACAATCCTGTGCGCACATTGTCTTGAAAGTGTAAAGTTGTCATAACAGAAAGATAAACTGATATTGAAAGCGTGATGTTTTTTATTAAGGTAAGAACACGAATTCATATGAATAGTAAGCTGACATACACAAGAATAAAATGCACATGACTAATTAAGCGCCAATAAAGACACCGACTTCAACTCAGCCCCGAAATTCTACATGGGAAATCGATGCTTTAACCAGAAAGTGGAAGTCGGACGCGAATCTCTGTCTATTCCAAGAGTTAAATACTCTTTAGTTTTTTTCCGGATGTTTTAGCTCCAGGCACAAAGTCACGAGAATATTTTCCTCTTAAGTGTTACCATCAGTTACTGCAATTATCACCTGTCCGCTTACTAGTCGGTTGCTCGTACTTCTTGCTTGGTGAGTGATTATTTTGGGTATCCAAACAAACTGAGACTTTTAACTTTGCAATATTTAGATCCTCATTCCCATCCATTGCAATATAACCAAATGTAACTTCCAAATAAATTTCCTAACACCAGTTTCTCTTTTTGATCATTTTGTGTACTATCGTGGCTAGCAACCGTAGTCAAGCAAACATCTTGTGGGTGAAAAGTAACAATAGAAAAACTTGTTCTTTATCAAGTGTTTAAGCTCAAAACTTTGATAAATACAGAAAATGAAATGCTTAGAATTTTAGCACAATTATAATGTTTTTAATTCTAATATCCATACAAATCACAGAAGTAAAGTATCACAAAATATGATTTTGACTAAATCAAAAAGGCATAAGCTATGGTAAGAAACAACAAAGTTAACCTATGTATAGTAATTTTTAACAGAAACCAGTAGACATTGACAATCTGAAGCTTTATCTTACATCGTTTTCCATCTTTAATCATTACATTCCATCAAAATATCGTTCACTAAAATAGCCAATAAAGAACATTACCTGATGGGTTTCCGTATCCAATAAAAAATACCGTTGCTTCCATTGTTTAAATAAAGCACCTCGTTTCCATAGATACCCACACAAAAATTTCGAAGATTTGTTTATACTTGGAGAATATAGAATGATAAAGATTATTTAAATGAGTAATTCATGATAAATCACTTTGGCTTGTGTAACTAAAGCTTAATCAGGGACAACCCAATAATATAAAGTGAAACTTTACAATATTTCTTTGTTTACATATTATATAATTGTAAATTTAAAGTAAAGGAAAATGTTTGCAGTTAACAAACATCAATGGAAGTTCACTAGTTTCTTATATTGTACCTCATGTAAGCTTTTGTTACTAGTTGATGGCATGCTATAATTCTGGTCTTTCAGATTTTTGTAATTAGGACACGTTTTAGGAACACGTGATAAGTATTTCTCGTGGCAGTTGTATCCACATTCTGTGCTTTTGAATCCTAAAAAAAACACATTTTAAAATACAAAAAATTTTTGGTCGCAGGAGCCAAAATCTCTCCACAAAACGTTAACGTAACTACGACGCTTGGTGAACAGTTTTGGGGTATCAAGATGCCAAGACCGAGCCAAGACATTTTAATTTATTTTGGATAGACTTAATTGAATAAATATCTTAAATTATTAAATTATCAACGGCACACACTCAATGAAATTTATGATAGACAAAAGCGGCGTCACAATCATCATGAAATAAATTATCAGTTGTATGACATAACAATTATCATAAATCTAGCACAAAAATATTGTCTGGCTGCGATTGTTTCACTTTCATTTCAAAATTAAATTTATACTAGGGGTATATTTAACTAACATGAACGCGCGTGCATTCTGCTATAAAGCTTTGCTAGTTGTAAAATTTTATTAGCAAAATTTCCAAAGAAACTTTGCACAGTAGACAAGATTAAGAAGTGTGTTTATAGATGCAACGGAAAGTCAACTGTATGGCCATCATAGATAGATAGATACACAAGCAAACCATACCTCCTTTTCCAACATTCCATATCACTTGTAGACAGAAATCGCAGTTCGTTGGCGTAAAGAAACTGTGAGGTTCAAATGAATGGGGTCGTGAAAAACCTTGGTTACTGTAGTCTTCGATTTGAAATCAATCTCTACTTCAAATGTATAAATACGCAGCAAAAGTTGTAAACATACTTTTGAATTACAAATTTTAGCAATTGCTGTCACTTACAAAAGTTCCGACATTAAGATCTTAATTTTACGTCCATTTCAGTAAAAAGAAATTAAATGAACATTAAAGTAATGCGTTAACTGACTACTTTTCAAGATTTTATCAAAAAATAAGAATTCAGAGACATTAAAATTTTGTACAAACTGTGTTCGAGAATCTTTCTAAACGGCGGCACGACACTAATCTCATATTTTTTGAAAAAAAACTTTTAAAAACACTGGTGCTGATTAATGCAATGTTGCACAAGAGCTTCAGTTTCCCAAAATTCATGGAAAAGTTGCGTGGTTATTGCGGAATTTATTGTCATTATATTCTTCTTAAAACGCTATTCCTATTGATTTATATAGAAACACTCGTGAAATTTTAAATAAACTCGAAATTTTTTGCAAACACACGCCCTTCCTGTTCCTTTTTGCCATGTAATTTATTGTTTCTCCCATTCACGTGTTTCTAAAAATCTCTAGAAACAAAGAAAGTTTTTTCTAGTTTTTAAAGAATACAACATATTCCAAGAAAACAGGAATACAATTTCACGGTTTAGTGCTACCAGCACAGCAAAACAAAATGTTAAAAAAAGTGCATTTTTATAAGTTGCCAAACTAACACAAAAATCCTTTTGTATATAGAAATTATTTTACCGGAAACCACATAATAGAACGAGTACATTGCATGAACGAGAATATTTAGTCAAATCACGTAATCATAAAATGGTCATTGAAGCTATAAATTATCTACAATCAATATAAAACTAAACATAAAGAAAAAGAACCATAAATACTACCTCAAGTATTATGTCCATCGTATCTCGTTTGTGTAGTACACCACTACGGACTCTGGAAAACTGTTCGTTGTATGTTAAAAACTGTAAAGAAAAAATGCCAGTCAGTTATGATGTTCATTAGTACCAGGCAAACACCACAGTCTGTGATGGTATTCATACCATGCACATACTCCAGTCTGGTATTCATACAATGCATACACTCCAGTCTGTGATGGTATTCATACCATGCACATACTTCAGTCTGGTATTCATACAATGCAAACACCACAGTCTGTAATGGTGTTCGTACCATGCACATACTCCAGTCTGGTATTCACACAATGCATACACTCCAGTCTGTGATGGTATTCATACCATGCACATACTTCAGTCTGGTATTCATACAATGAACACACTCCAGTCTGTGATGATATTCATACAACGCACACACTCCAGTCTGTAAAGGTACTCATACAATGCATACACTCCAGTCTGTAATGGTATTTATATGTACAATGCACACACTTCAGTAAGCAAAAATTAGTTATGCTGCATAAATGAGACCTAAAATATGATATTCACAAGCCATTTACAAAAAATCCAGAGGATGACCTTTACTTAATGTCTGCAAAGTAAAAGTAAAATAACACGTCAAAATGAAAGTATATTTGCTATAAATACCGTTTTCGTTATTTTAGGCTGTTCCAAACGCTCCCTTATTTTTTTCCAACGAGTTGCAAGTTTGTCAGCCTCTTCTTCGATGCGATTATATTCGTACAAATGATATGCACAGCTACTACTGTCGTTATGAACCGATCCACAAAACATACCACTTCGACAGCTTGTAGTAAACAATATGAAGCGTTAGCTATTTTATTCAATAATTTACGCATGGTTGAATATTATTAATCACTTTTTTAACCTTATAGTAAAGTTTGCAACAAAAAATAACACTACATAATGTTTAAATGGAAACATCTTAACTATTAAAGTACTCAATAATTTTCAAATGGAAACACGCTAAGTATCGAAGTACTTCACTAATTTTTAATGGAAACACGCAAATCGTAGAGGTACTTTGCTACGTTTTAAATGGAACGCGCTTACTTCTTAACGAAAATATCTTATTCATACCTGTTGGTATCGTACTTGTCTTCTAACTTCTGTTGTCCTTCCTCGGCAGCAGTTTCTGTCTCATTTATGACTTCTTGATCAAACTCTGGACCAGTGGAGACATTCTCCGAAACAAAATAACTCCATAATTTTAGATGGAAACGTTGCAATGAGGACGAAGCACCTGGGAATTTAGAGATAATGTATTAAATCTGGTTTACGAGAAAGAAATCTTCTAGATTTGCTAAAATATGGCTGCAAATCAACAACTCACCTTTCTAGGTGATTTTTTGTGTAGCATGTCGATGTAATCCCAAAGACTTTTTATGTGAGATTTAGAAGTCTTTGCATCTTTCTTTTTAGCATCTGATAGCCAACCCAACTGCACACGTTCGTGCTCTGAATCCAGTAAAAAACGTACGAAAACGCATGGAGACATGATGATAGGCGAGGAAATGTAAATAATACTCGTTGAATTCGAAGGATAGTGGATACTGACGTAATATCTGAGAACATAAGAAATATGTAGAAATGAGTAATTTTTCCAAACTTTCATGTAAATATAAATAACTGAGAACACAAACAATGCAAGAAAACTTTGCAGATAATGACCACGAAAGAGTTGCTCTTAAGAGTTAAATGTTTATTTCAAATTTATGGCGAGAAAATTTATGACTAAAATTTTTGATCGAATAAAGTTTTCAAAAAATTTATGCTTAACTCAAGCTTTGGTCAAACTTTTTTTGTGTAATATAAAAAACGTTTCGCACAATACTCAACACAACTGACACAAGACAATTTTAACCCCAATTATTTAAGATAACTTTAAGAAACAATGATAACCTGATGGACGCCATCAAGAAATTGCAAGAAAACAGACGTGAATCCACTTGATTGCGTTGAATGTGTATGATTACAGCGATGTGAGAAACGATGTAAAAAGGACGACCATTCTTTTTCAACTAAAACTTTAAAACCATTAATTGTTCGGTAGTATGGATCTAACATTACTTGAGCAAATGACGTCACCTACAAAAAAACAACATGAAGTATTAACTGTAGTTGTTCGTACGTGAGGCAGAGACATTGACAGTTCGATCATCGGGAGGAGGGGAGAGTGGAGAATATTTATATATGCATATTAAAATGGATCTGAAAAAAACACATTCGATTTTAAAGGAACTGGATATGACAAAACGTAAGATCTTGAGGTTGGGTATTGAGGGCTTACACTACTATCGCCATTGATTATCGCTAAAACAATAATACAGATAATAAACACACCAAGAAAGATTACACTATAATAATCTGATGTGTGAATTTTTACAGCTTATGTATAACCACATTGAGTTCTATAAGATATGGGGCCGGTTGTATAAAACCGTAGTTAACTTTAACTACCTTTTAACTGCAGTTAGCGCTAACTACTTTTTTATACAACCGACTTAACCGCGTGGTTAAATTTAACAACTTTTTAACTGCAAAAAGTGTAGTGAAAAAGTAGTTAAGAGCTTTATACAACCGGCGCCTGGAGGGAACACGTCAACAAAATTACTATAAATTACTAGCGCGCGGCCAGTGGTCAAAAACATGGCGGATTTTGGTGGTCAAAGTCAGTGGAAAGACGCGGGCTCATGAAATCAAAACTTTGTCTCCCACCCTGAATTGACCACCACGATTGCGAGTATAGAAATTATCAAAACTATTTATTTTTCTAACACAAACACTTTTTTAAAGTTTTATTTATTAAACAATCCGCCAACTTCCGTGGTTTGCGGATGCTGAAATAGCAACAGAAAAGGAAACATTTCGAGACTCCGGTAAGTAGCACAGTAGTAGTACAACTATTTTTTTTAACACGATACTTGAAGAGTGTTTCTACTACTAAGTTTTAATTTAAAGTAGTTTTGGTCCAGTCTTGTTTGTTCTTCACTTTATCGCTCGCCAGTTTATGGAGTTTTACATCCATCTTGTGTCATGATCGAGCTAAACTCTCCTGATTTGAATTGAGTTTACCTCCCAAAAACGAGGCAGAATTAGTTCCTATTGTTTTTTGAAAATATTAAGGGAAAGTTTAGAGCAGAGTTGTGTTGAAATTGAATCCAGTGCAATGCAAAGTGCAATGCAAAGTTCTAAAGTTCCCCTTTAGAACTGTATCTTTTTTGGGAAGGAATAAAGAGAACTGCGACACCTGGATGTGCAATACGTTTGAGGTTTTGTATATAAAATTAATTATAATCAATGCTGGTTTTTTAAGTATTTTAATGTCACAAAAGTAACATGTGTTATTTGAAATACTACAACCTAAAAATAACACCAAAATTTACAACGTTTTCCGTTATCTGTGATTGCAAAATGTTCTAACCGCTTTGTTTTATAACATTGAACAATATCTATAAACATAAGTTAAAGAATATTTGAAGAATCAATGCAATCAAATTGATCTAGATTTCACGTACTTTCACGATTTACTCTCTTTTTGACATTAAAGTGTTCATGTAATGAAGCCCAAATTTGTATATTTACCTTCTAATGAAATAAGCATACCTTTTATTTTCTCCGTATGAGCGTGTAAATTTGAAGGGGATTCAGCATCAGAAGTATCACCAGACTTTATTTCTTCAAAAAAGATATAACAGTAGAGCTGGTGAACTATTGCGTAAAATAGAAGGGTGTTTTTTATGATAAATACGTTTCTATGTGAAGACTAGTTTAACTGGAGTTTATAACGTTTACTGGATTAGATAAAAAAAAACCCAAGAATCAATTCTTCAAGTAAATTATTTGAATTTCGTTAAACGTTCTTTCCAAGAACAAAGATATATATCAATCTAGGTTTTTAAAGTAATAAAGAAACTTTTTAAATTCCAAGTATTGTAAATCTGGTATTTTTCTTAAAATATTTAAAATAAAAATACTGAAAAAATGTTAAACTTTATTTATATTTTAATTTTTGCTTAAGTTTTCTTGTTCCCAGTGGCGTGCGGTGACCGAATTTAATAGGCAAGCGCTGACAGTGATTCCACAATGCATTCAGTCATGTTGCATAGGTGTCGTGAAAATACCGAATGTAGAAGTAGAACATAAAAGGATGAAAATTCTTATGCTATATATTTTATAGGAACATCAATATTATTTATACCTTACATCAGTTACATGATATCTACCGGATACAAATATCAAAACTACTACGCAAAAGGAAGCTCTTGTCAATATCATAATCTTGTATTACATGCTACAGATAATATCTTCTACATACATAAATTGCAAGACAATAGGCGCGAAATGTATTGTAGCAGTCGTGATTATAACAATTAAGAACAGCCAGTTTCGCGCACAAAATTGGCACGGTGTGTTACAAACTGAGGCCATGGCGTTGTTTAATGTTTCAACACAGTCTCAAGCTTAAATAGATGAATAGCATCAATTGACAAAACGGCTTAAATAGATAATAATCATCAATCCAAGGGAAACTCCGTAACTATCCAAATTCAATACGTTTTGCGCACTCGCGAAAAGTTAACATGGCGGAAAAACGACCAAAACGTAAGAATTCACCATATTATAGATATTGCTGTTCAAAAGAAATGGAATCATTGTGTATAAAATTAGGCAAATTTTAACTACAATTAAGCTATTATTTATTCTACCTTGATATACAGCGTGTAAAAAGAAGAAATCCGAGACTCTGGAGAAAGTTCTGAATGATGGTTTAGCCTTGTTGGCGAAAGAAAAAGAATCAAAATGTCGGGGGAAAAAGCCTTCTCATTTTCGCTTAGTGCAAGTTGGTTGTAAGAGGTTGACCCACACGCCTTACCGCTGCCGTCAAGGATCAATTAAGCAAAATGGTAATGTTAATATTTAGTATTTATATTAAAATTTACTATCTTCAGTAGTATGTTGAGATTGTTGTTCTTGTTTGCAATTTTATGCTAAATAATATGTAGTATGCATGTGTAACTACATCATGCTATGAAATTTTGTACTTGAAATATTGACTGTACAATTTTGCTGCTTTAAATCATATATGGCTCAAACAATTTTGTCCAGTGTCCTTAGCAGATTTGACTATTTAGTTTCTTATGGGTAAGCAGAAAGACAACTGAGTAAACTGTCATTACATTACCATGCATGGTTGTACCTAAAACTGTTACAGGTCAATGTTGTTTAAGTTAGGTACTGTATAAGAAATTGCATTGTAAATTTATATTAGATAACCAGCAGTATGATAGCTCTGTGGCTGATGACTTTCAAGTAAATGATGAGCACAAGCAAACAGACGTTGATATTGGTAAGCATCAATGTATATGTATAATATTAAGTTAAATGTAATAGATTTGTCTAATGATTGCTCATGCTTGAAATGCTTTTGGTAAAACTAATAATTGCATTTGAAATCAATAATTGCAATAATTTGTTGAAATGCATGTATGTAGCTCTATCCACTTTGATATTGAGCACCTTTATTTGAAATTGTCTTAGATCATATACCGTCTCATTTAATCAGAAATTGTCCACAACAAGCTCACTCAGCTAACAATTTTAATTTCTTTACTGGTTAAATTTTTATAATATAAGTCATTATTGTTTTGTAGAGCTAGAGAATCTTATATTTGAATGCAGAGGACTTTTGGCTTCAGAGAAAGAGGATGCCAAGAAATGGTCTGATCGCATGGAAGAGCTTCATTCTCTTTGGGAAAATAATAGATCTACCATATTCGAAACCTTGATCCAATGTGAATCAGTTGATAAAGGCACACCATGCTTCAATTGTGGGGAATCTCCAGGCTTGATAAAGTGTCATCAGTGTGGTAGTAACTGGCCAGTCTGTGTTGAATGTGATAGGAAAATTCATGAAAGAAAGCCATTCCATGATAGACATGGGTGGATGGGTAATCATTTCAGACCACTTCAGCCATCACATTCATTGGATAAAATGGACAAATAATTGAAGTTGGTATGTCATGTAAATATGGTAAAAGTATGTTAAATGTCATATGCACTATGCTAACTGATGTCAAAATCAACCTACATATGTAGCTACTTATAGGTATATAATTTGGGGTGATATAATTCTATTATTTATACAAAAAGGTTTTATCTCCCAGTCTAATGATGAAAATTTATTATATTTGTTTCTTAGATTGCTATGTTTCTTTGCATCCTGTCCAAAAGTTTTGTCATGGCTGCTCTAGAAAATCAACCTTTCACTCCGTGCCCAGTAAGGACATGCTGACTATTTGTACAACACAAGGTAATGTACAAAGTATTTTATACTTGCAATGTTGAACATGCAAAATTTTGTGTTTGCTCCAATAAAATGTAATCTTATTGAACCGACAACTGTTGACATTAATCTTTAAACATTTTTGATTTCCTTCTTCATCAGTGTTGTGAAGGACTACTATATAATTTACTCATTAATTTACTGTAGTATTCTTCTTACATACTGTAATAGTTACATGTATACAGTAAACTGCCATCCTATGTACATAATGTCTTTTTAGTTATCATGTTTATTAATCTTTTTCTATTGTTAGGTCGCTTTGACATAAACAGTACATCATTCAAGTGTGTTTCTTGTTCAGCATTCTTGATGCCGACACTTGCAGATATTCTTGGTAATGGCTACTGGCCAGCAAATCCAAAGTCTTTAAATGTGTTATTTTCACAGGATTTACTTCTGCTGTGGAACACAATGCAAAAGAGAATGCCAGGTTGTTCTGAGTCCAGTTTTATTAGATCATTGGAAGACATAAGTGTTTCAAAAGGAAGGGTGCGTACATAAATACTTTGTGTGTATGCCACATTACTAAGTGTAAACTCTCAGCATTGTACATAGTTTTTTGTGTAAAGCAATTACCATTGTCACTAGTGTTATGGAAAACATCCAAATTCATGAAAAATGTATATGTATGTGTGGCAAAAGTCTACAATTTTTTCTATGTGATTTCTACTTTCTTTCAATTTTTAGTTTGGATCAATAAATCCACGAACGTTCACAAAAGCCTTTCGAGAATGGAAATATTTTAATTATGAGGTGGAAAAAGCCCAGGGAAAAGAGTGGATGTTTTGTCCTAGTTGCTCATCCAACCAACACTCCTGTCATGTAGATGGCAACATGAAGTTATACCGATATAAACATTCAGGAAGGTATTATGTCAAACTCTGTAATTTTACACATTCTAAGGAGCCTTTCATAATGTAAACTCTTGTTTTCTCTCTTATAGAGAACAAAGTCAGTCTTACTATGGAGATCTTTTATTTCTTCGAATGAACATGTTTCAGAGCATATTAGAAAGGTTTATTCCACTCCCCAAGTTCGGGTAATTTGGAGGTCATGCTTTGCACTGATGTTGAAATGTTTTGTACAGTTCAGTACAATACACCATTACATGAGTAAAGTTCTTTTCATTATAACTCAATACTTACCCTTTTGATAATGATATTTATTCATTATTATTGGTTTTGCATTTTGGCTATTGTATTCATTGTAATAAATAATAAAATCGACAGTTTAGCCTTTTCTGAATCAATATATAAATGTTCGTTTTTCCACGATCATGGTTCGAATTTGAATCTTTTGTGTTACAGAACTTTTCTGATGACGGGAAATGTGGTGAAAGTAATTGGCGAGCTGCTGGAAATAAAGGAAAACGAAAGAGTCGTCTAGACGAAACAGGACTGGAAATTGCAGGTTGCCGGCATGCAATTGCTCAGTGGGCTGTAAACATGTTTCGCGGAGAGATTTATGGCTACTCTAATTACATCCATGTTCACAAAATGATTCCAAACAATGTTAAATACATTTGGCAAGATATCATATGTAAATATTGGAAGTGGGCAGTGAAGGCATCAAAGTCGGATGAGTCAAATGCTCACGAAATAAAACCTGCTTTATCTGTGATGCATGCCAAAGCACATAATTGGACATGCCAGGTACACTGGTATCATGTGTTTTTATAATGAATGCTGGCTGTGTACTTATACGTATATCGATGTTCACTCTCAGTATTGTCTACTCAGACATTAATGAATTTCTTATAAACAAGAATTTCCAAACTCGTCTTATTTTAAGGTATTGTGGGAGGACGGTGGCAAAAGGTTCTGCATATTCCACAGGAGAGGAAGTTGAGCAGATTAATAGTTACCTTTCGAGACTGGCCAACACTACAAAGTACATGTTACCCGAGTGTAAGTGTTACTTAAAATAAGTTTATAAAATATGTTTAATTATATTGTAGACTTTATTTGTTGGATAGAACGATTATCCATATAACGTAGCTATCGTCCACGTTGGTCTCAAGTTACTGGAACATTTTTTATGGTTTTCAATTGATGTGTCATGCTATGTATGTGCTTTTTTGACAATTTTAGCAAGAGAAGAACTCATAACTGAACATGCTCTTGCGTGGAATAAACGGAAAATATGTGATCTGTCCAGCTCCCTCTGCAAGAGATATGCAAAGGTTGCTTCTCAAAACTATTTTGTACATGCGGCCAAATAACGCTACTAACAGCCGTCATCCTGATAAGTTATTTTCTTTTAGTATATAGAAGCTCAAGAAAATACAAGGAAAGAACTTGATGAAATGGTTTCTGGCGTAAATCTCTCTCGAACCACGTTGATTTCTTGCAGTGGAAGAGTGAAGTTCAACGTATTGCAAAAGGTAACCGGGTTTTACTTGCTGGCATAATTTAATACGACTGTGCAGTATATCATATTTTTTTCTGTTTCTGTAGAAATGGAAAGCTCCTTCTTCACGTATTTAGCCGAAGAAGAGGAATTGTACGTTTTGACCTCCTCTTTAACCGATACCTCTTTATTGACATCAAATGTAAACATCTCGTGTGTTGAGACTGAAGACTATCTTTCTGCCCTGTCAAAAAAGATAATTCAAAGATACTCCACCGTTGAGGATAAACGTAAAGAGTTAAATCACTGACTGCCAAGCTTTGTCGTGATATAACCGCCGATGTACTGCTTGATAGAGGAAAAAGTTATTTTGGAAAGTGCCTTGAAGTGTCTTAAGAATGAACTAGAAATGTTGTCTTTGCCATAGTACAAAGGAAAGCAAGCGTTGTAAAATTGGGAAGTATGTTTTACATATACACGTATATTACTACATAAGAGGAGTGCATTTGTTAGCAAGAATCCATACTGAAGTCATTGCAAATTTAAGGCAAAATAGATTGTTTCTTATTTAGTATACTTACCTGTTTCTTTTGCCTGTAGACTCAGCAAAAGCAAGAACAAAGATAAGACAGAAGATGTCTAGTGATCAGAAAAACATTGACAAAAAAATGCGCATATTCAACGTATTACAGTTTGTTGTGCATGGTCAAGAAGAAACAGTAAGACTCGACGAGTGTTCTCTGGTTGATGGCATGTTTCCCTGGACTCTCAATGGTGTGTACCTAAAACATATTCTGTAAATTCCAACATGCCTTAAGTAAGAACTTAAAGTTACTTAAACGTAATGTTATAAAACATCTTTATATAGAAATTTCTGTTCGACTGAAATGTAAAATTGTTGACAAGTTCGAACATTTAGAAAGACTGGAGGAGGAGTTAATTCTTATTAAGCAAGAGATGAGTAATTATTTGCGATATTACAAAGATATCGTTATTCCAAAGTTGAAAGCGGAAGTAAAAGACATGGAACAAAGTCTAAACTCAGGTATGTATAATGAAAGTCACGTATGTACTGTAAAAGAGTCCATGTGCTCATTTTAAACAAATCATTGTAAGACATAAGCTTTTTAGATTTTTTGAGCTTCTCAAATTTTCAACACGTTTTGTAGAAAGAGTTTCAGTGAAAGACACTAGGAATGTTTGTCAAATGAAAGAGTTGAATCTGAGGTATATACATATAATCTTCCGTTAAGCACCACGAATATGTATGGAGAAAATAAACAATAAGTCGTGCGCAACAAACATAATGAAGGAACCTTAGCGTACATAAAATGTTTTTGTGGAAGAAACCAAATGCCATGTAATCTATTATTTTTTAGAAATCCTTGTATGCTTCTTCGTCTCATAAATCAAGACGTGTTATTTTGGGTGAGATAGCTTTGCGATACAAGGGTATAAACTTTGCAAAGCAACAGCTAGACCTTGGATCCAAGCACTTCTCCTGTATTAACAGTCGCGATGTTTTGGATACTTTAGTTAGCAATGAGAGTGATATTGAAAGCTACAGCAACAATGAAGACGATGATCTTTTTGATGACAATGGTTCTGATGATAAGATCGATGATTGCTAATGTTGCTAGTGATAAATGACTTGTTATTAAACTTGTATTTATACTGTATGAATCCAGCTACAATGAGTGGGTGCAACCATGAAACCCCTGCCTTAGAGCAGCTAATACGGGTCATAATTATCATTCCCGGGAGACTGGAAGCATTGTTATCCATTACTGATATGATCTGTTGCAAAAACGGGAAAACGCCATAAATTATCATTTGTAATATTAAAAGTGAAACGTGCATTTTGAAAAGTCCTTAAATATTCTTATTATGATTTTTCTTTTATCTCAACATTGCGCGAGGTTACACGTTTGTTTTGGTCTAGTGTTATCTTTTATTGTTGATTTTTTTGAAACGTTCTATTCTTTTACACATTGTTCACCATTGTTGTACCATTGATCAAGTTGTAAACCATTGTATTACATTACAATTTACATTTTCACTTTACTTATTTTACATTATTTATACACACTATACACTATACACTATACACACTATACACATTATACATATACACACTATACACTACACACTACCACACTATACCACTATACACCATTACTATACACATTACACTCCACTTACTTCACTAATTATCCACATATACACACTATCCTTATTTACAACCACTTACACATTATTACACTTATGAATAAATTAGTAAACATTGTAACTCAAAGGAAATCATGGTTTACTAATAGCGCCTATCGATAAGAAAAATATTTTTGCTATGTACTGGTGATGGTGTATGCAACAATAAAGAGAATAATAACTTTAATGCCTTTAACAACGTTAATCAGTACACGGTCTTTCTTACCAAGAATAAATTGTCACATTTGTTACGTTAGAGAAGTTAAACGATTTGAGAGTGAATATAAAGCCATAACTAATTACGTATGTTGTGACATTTGACCATTCCCGTAACGACATTTGTTAAACAATTTACAATCAACTGCAGTAAATTAAATATTTGGTTGTTCGTCACCAGAAATATTTCCCAAAATAATTTTTTAAAAATCTGTTAACTCATATCAAAAACTCATATGACTTATATTTTTTAACTTGTTAAACTGCGCGATGATGATGAATTATAATCAAAACGTGTTATAAGACTAAAATCAAAACGTATATGACTAAAAACAATCAAGGGAAAATAAAATTAATCCATTACCAAAATTCAATTGCATAGCAATCAATATAAAAAAAACTATATGGAAGATATATTTACATTATTTTACATACACTAACTATCAATTTATTTCGGGAAGTTATTATTCAATGCCAACAATTCAAGCGGCCATTCGTAAAACGCCCCTTTTTCGACAAAATCTCCATCAAACTCTGTTGAAGAAACTGGCTTGAGTTTACAGTTTGGCATTACGTAATCAATGACTATGCCAACATGACTTCTTGGTACAGGGCGGTTGTGCAAAGTTTTCATAGAAAATAATGTGCATAAAGCTTGAGGTATCTTGTCTTCATTAAAAACCACTAACTTTGAGCCTTCGCCTGATTAAAATATAAAATACATTTTTAGATAATGTATGTCTTGTTATAAAATTGTAGAGAGACAATATACAATAAGACTTAGGATATCTTTTCTTTTAGGGTAACATACATAGCTATTAATAAAATAAAAGCATTTAGCAAATACACAAACTTTAAATGTTTGCAGTTTGCTGTTGATTCGTTTAATAGTGGCGTGATTCCTATTTCTGTAACAAAATAATTTGTTTTTTTTCTGAACACCTAAAATGTCGATGTTAGTATAAGACGCTATACATTTTTTGTACTTTTGTATGACGAACTGAAATTTGTTATTGCAACAGTAAGTACATTGGTACAAATAAATACTACAGACTGAAGATAAAGAAACATTTAATATCTATTTTAACTTTCTTCTGATAAATACTTTGAGTGGACGTTAAAATTTTCGGGCTCTTCGAAACTGGTTCTTCATCTTCATCAGGTTTGTCGTAGCTACAAAACTTTTGAAAATACTGTTGTTCTTCGTTAGTATTGTTACCATTAATCTCGATAGTCTCAGCAATGTCATTAACATCAGTGCATCCGATTGTAATAATTGTGTTTTCGTTTGTATCATTAGCGTTTTTCTTCGTTTGGTTAAAAATTTCGTTGACGTTGTTCGGCTTTTCATTGATGTTGCAAGCGTTTTTGACGACGCTGTTTGGGTTTTCTTTGCCGTTGTAAACAGGGTTTTTGTTAGCGTTTTTGGAGTTTTGGCTGTTGTCGTTATGGTGTACGTTTGCCTTGTGTGGGTTTTCGTTGGGATTGTTCGGGTTTTTGTTGGTGTTGTAGGGGATTTCACAGTTGTTGTCAGCTAAGGTTGAAGAACTTGACTGGGAAAATTCGTCCAATGTGTTAGCGTGTGTTTGACCAACACTTTATGGCTCATTTCTTCCACTTCCATCTCCCCTAGAAATATAATGTAATGAGCATACTGAAAACTGTAAGTCTGTAACCAATACCATGAACAATAAAAGTTGAAATAGATGTTCTGCTTCAAAGACAAAAAAGGATATAAATCATATAATTTATATCGCTATGAAATGTAAGCATCAGCAAAATGCTGGCTCTTACGTATTTGTTATTGTTTTTGTATTTGCATGCTTTTATATTGTTGGTTGAAACTGAAAGTGTAGTTAATTCAGAATACATCGAACGACAAACATGGATTTTGATTATTAAGTTAAAGCTAGTCTTTCAAACTAGTAGCTGTAGAATACAGTAGGATCATTTCTTATTGTATCAGCAACACTACTACGAGAAATTAGTTGCTTAAGTGGATCTTTTCATGGAAATGGAATACGAACAATGGCAAAGCCAGCTCACAAAGTCAGGTCGTCTTATGCACATGAAAATTTTACGAAAATGATTGACATTGCAAGTATTACGATTTAAGCCCTATTCACACGATATAAACTAAACTGAGTTCGGTCGATTTGATCCAACCCATCTCAGAGGTGGAAAAAGTCTTGCTATGCAAATATTTTCGCGTTCATGATGGCAGAAACAATCATTTTCTAAAGAAATGAACAATGATAATGTAAAATTTGCATAGCATGAACAAATTTTCCTGCTGGCTTCCCCACTTGCAATATATAGATAGAAGACGTTCCTTATTATCATTAACTCCTAATTTGATTTTTATTTTTATTCAATGAAAGCAAAAAACGTTTGTTCATACAGTTTCTGTGGTGGAATGGTTATCGCATGTGTTTAACATTCCAAGGACATCAGTTTAATCCTGATAAGAAACAATATTTGCAAAATTTCATCCTTAATTACACATTCTAACTAGTACATGTTTTTTCATTTGCATACAAAACTATCACATGAGTAATACCAATACAGTTAAAAACAAACTAGGAATTCATTTAATTAATAATACAATGTTCACCATTCGACCTTAATTTATATTTGTTCTAATCAACGGAAACGTGAAAGTGTTTGTGTATGTACTGTACTGGTAATCACGTGTGTCTTAATATGCAAAAGGTCCTGAAATAGAACTTATCAAATGTTATAATTTTAATGCCTGATCACTATGCTAAGCCTGTGTATGCGTAATATATTGTGAGGTAAGTCTAAGGGTTGGATTAGAATATATTCAATAACAGATTAATAGAACCACCAGATCATGGATTTTCATAAATGAATGTTGCATAAATGAACACACGTTCGCTTTCGCCCTTAGATGGAGTTCATCCAATTTTATAAACTTACGTCGCATGAAATTGTCAAAAAGCTTTTCTGTTATTTTTCCATACTCTGTCTCAGTAAGAAACTTGGCAGCTGGTCAAGGAGTGCCGTGTAAGTGAGTGGTATAGCCTTTTGCATGTCTTCAGAACGACAAAACAATAATGTGTTGGTCATGATGTTCATTTAAGACAGAAGCCTAAAATAAATAAAGATTACAAATAAACTTTCTTAGTTTGCTTATAGTAACAAAAGCCGTAAGCAATCATCGGTGGCAAAATCCTTAGAAAATGTGATTTTCAATCATGTTAAAGCAAATTCGTTCCCAACATGAACGACTGGAAATAATTAGTTAAAAAAAGTTTGTAAAAGCTCTGCTGAAAGTCATGGTCTTTTTCCTGCTGCTAAAGTTTCCTAAGACAATGCAAAACAACAGGAGGAAAATAACACCACCACATCTGCTCGGCCTGCGCACATCTTTCCAGTTGAAAAAAATGCTACACATTCACTTATACAGCAATGCATACACACATACATACATTATTGTACATACAGTAAATACCTATAGATACATATACTGTACACAGACCGATGAATATTTAAAGTTTGATACATACACAGAAGCAAATTAGTAGCATGTAAATATTTAGCATACATTGATCACACTTCCAAAATTATTCCCATTTGCAAATATTGGGTTGGTCTGTATTGTATAGAAGTATCTTGAGAATTGATACTAACTCTGTACATCATTAGTTCTCTTTGGGACGGGGCGGGTGGCTGAATGGTTAATTACGTGAGCTGTAAGCCAGACGGCGCGGGTTCAATCCCGGCTCGTGGCAATGTGTCTGTAAACCTAGCCCGGGTTGACCAAAGCCATGTGAGGGAAATTTGGTAGAGGAAACTATGTCCTCGGATGGACTGTATCTGCATCTGCAATGTTGCAGCCTTGTCACACTGTGCAGGGGCGGATCTAGAGTATGTCAAATCCGTCGCGCGACTGATGTTTGAAATTCAAAAATTACCTATTCATATTAATTAAAAATCATTAATTATTCTTACTTTATTATCGCATTTACTTCGTGATAAAAATCCAGCTTTATTTATTATTGAAAACTAATGACTAATGCAATGAATATCTCCTTGGTAACCAGATCAGTTGAATTTTAATTGACCTGGAATAACCGACTGATAAGCGGGGTGGCTTGACTGGTTCGACTTATAAAGGAGTCCATGAACGCCAGAAACGCTATTTTATTGGTCAATGGCCAGATCAGTGGACAGTCTAGAATAATCTCGACCGATAATAAGGGTGGCCGGACCTATAAGGGAGTCCAATTGCTATCTTACAATTGGTTCATTTGAATTTTTGTCTTACTGTGATTGGTTTGACCGATTTCGACTGATAGCCAACTGAACTAACATAGTCAAGCTCAATGTCTGAATTGAATGTTTGATCGTTTCATAGTAATTTTTATAAGCATGATAGAAACTTAACTACAATCAGATGGAATTTATGGAAATCTTTTACAAATTCATATGTTGACATGAATGCTGCTTTCCAAACTGAGAATTTTTTCAAGAGGGTGAAGAATTTATGGATGAATTGTAAATGCTTGGCAAAGACGATCTCGCGAGCGACATTTCAGTCATTGATGTTCAAAAGAAAGCCAACATTGTTTTGAGTTTTATCAGCAGAAATTTGCATCGAAAATCGTAAGTAAAGGACAAGTGAAGTGTATGCATGAATGCAATATATCAAAGTCAATTTATGCGAGTGTGTGATGCGATTTATGTTAATATGGCGTATGGTAAGCAGATTGATGCTTCTAAAATTGTTGTTGCCGAAGGACTTTTAGCTATGATTTCTTTAATGCTTGGTGAATCGTGGCCGTTATATGGCATCGAAATCCTACATTTCTGCAATATATTTCAATGGACAAAAAATCTGTAGCCATAAGGTGCCATACTATTATTTACTTTATCATAAACAAATGTTTGGGGCTTTTCAGTTTATGATCATTGATCATTCAATCATTGGACTGTTATATAACATATTGTTTTTAAGATTTGAGAAAACTAACATTGATTACATGAGAAGCTGTTTACTATAGCCTGTGATTTTGAGTTTTATGATCCATGAAGCTTTTTATTTTGACAATTTGACTGGAATGGTATTAAACCTGAGTATTTCACATACATGAAATGTTGTCCCATGTCACATATTGTCCCCTTTTTTAACTGAACACCTCATGTAGAGATGTAAAGGTGTGTTAATCTACGGCTCATACCACATTGTTGCCATAAATTCCAAAGGGCTATTGATGTATGAAAAGCATTTTCTATAAAGTAAAAATGTCTTCCTATGTATGCAGATAAACCTTGAAATTTGGCAAAACAGCAAAGTATTTTTCATGATCACTAGGTAATTTTTCTGATGATCATAATTTCTAAACTAAATTATTTCTGATTTACATTTAAACAAGCTTTTATTATATGAAAAGATATTTATCATAACCAGTAAGCATGACACATAAACCATTTTTAACATTCATGTAATTATATAATTAAAGACATGTTGGTTACATTCTGTTTGTATTTGATAATACAATGCTACTAGTGATTGCTATATAGCACACCTTGCAGAAGATAATAGTCTAGTGAAATGCCTAATAAACATTTATGGCATTAAGCTAACCTTAACTGCAAATTTTCACTCTGATAATTTTTGCTTAATCTTTGGCAGAAAAAAATTTTGAGTTTTTCTCAAAGGGTGAATTTGCTGGCACTGATGTGGAGATGGGTAAAGAGTTACAATAAACTTGCATGGTTTGGAGTCTGAGCTTTTCTATATCTATGAACTGTCACTTGTAGTACCAAATTTCTAACTTAACTTATTACATAGAGGTTTGAATGGGGGTCTCTAGGGGGATCTATGCCTGACAACTTGGTAGAAATTTTAAGGAATATATCTGTTTTTGAATAGTATTATTGTAAAATAAATTTACGTTCCTAGACATGCTAATGAGCCATATATTTGGCATGATAATGAGCCTAAATATTTGGCAAAACATTCAAGTATTGTTCACTTTTTTTTTTGAAAAAAAAACGTAAGAAAAATGTGTTGTTTTTACGCAAAAACGATGCCCACAAAATACATTTTGTATTGCTCTAAAACGATGAAAATGGCATTTTCAAGACTCTGAAATTCAAAATTTCTCAGGGTAGAATGCCTCAGACCCCCCCAGGTGCGAAGCGCCTCCGATGTTTTATGACTGATGTTTGAAAAATCCTAGATCCGCCCCTGCACTGTGTGTCACGCTCATATCAGCGTTGTAGTTGCATGAAAGGTACGAGTGATTGTAGTCGGGTCAGCTGCTTTCACTATAATTTAAGTAACGGAGTCCATTACTATTATTATTATTATTATTGGCGAGAAGGATTTGTCACACGCATTTTCCTAATTCTTTCCATGGAATTTACACGTTTCGAAATGAATTCCTTCGAACAACTTTTACACTTCTTTGAAGCATTTCCATTTTCTGTTCCACAACCATTACATTGCTATAAAAAAGTATAACAAAACATATGCTTCAACCCCTTAAGACAAAACTTGCAGCAATACAAAATTCACCATTCACAAAATACAACAGGCACAAATTGCAAAATTTACAAAATTCAAAATTTACAAAATACCAAATTCACAAAATTCACAGCAATATACCATTCATAAAACTACATTTTCAAAAGTACCACATGACTATGTATGAGTGATGAGGCCAAGAATTGAAGGGTACCTTTTCATCCTATTTTTATTGGTTGTACAGCCACAGGTCAGTTTTAGTTGTCAATTGTGAGGATCTAGTATATAGGGGTAATGGGTTAACCAGAAAATTTGACAATGTCTGCACTCTGTAGTTAATCCTTTAACCAGCAATATGCTTTACTCATTTTTTGACAAATGCCACATGACTTTACTTGTCATTTGGTAGCTATGGAGCTAAATTAGGTTATTAGAAATAAGTGATAGTATAAAATTGAAAAATGTTGTCGTTTATTTAAAATGTTTGTTATACAATTGACAAATAAAATTGGCAATGAATAAAAATGGGCTTAATTCATTGATATAAAATAAGTGGTTTGTCTTGATGCACAAGAGTTGTCATTCAACTGATCTTTTATGCTACTATCAGAAAAAAACTTCTGTTGATATATAATATTGTATGTTCTTCAAAACATATGTCAACAGGTATATATGTAGCATGCTTTTGAAGGGTACAGTTAGTATCGAAAAATTAGGCAACCATTCAATACATATATAAATTTACCTTAGTTGTCTTTCCTTGAAATCTTTTCTCTAAAAAATACAACATAAAATATAATGATGTACAAATAACCATTATTTAAATTAGGCATAGGATGACAATAATCCAGATTGGCTTCACTGCTGATCTTAAGATTAACCACATACTAGAACTATCACAGTGATCACTAACATTACAGTTATACATATAATATACATAAAGTCTGATGATAGTAATAATATGTTGTTCTATTTGAAAGAACATTTATACATGCAACTACAGAATAGATCCTTACATACAATTCATAGTTTACTACGCAATGCTGGACAGCATACAGGAATATTTTTCCAATTTGCAAATGGAGTTTATCAAAGAAATTAGGTCATTATTGAAAAAGTCTATCAACGTATGAGGCACATGGGTAATAATAAAAAAATAATAAATCGTCCATTAACACTGGGGATAGCATTTCCAGTGCCGTAACTAGAAAATTAATTGGGGTGGGGTGGGGGGTGGGTAAATATTCATATATTCAGCTCTGCCCTGCTGACTTCTATTGAAATTAAAATCGCAAACAAAAGAAATCAGCAGGGCAGAGCTGAATACATGAATATAAACACCCCCTAATTAACGTTCTAGTTTTGCCCCCGAGCATTTCTTTTTAATCAAATCTTTTTTTAATAACTTTTAGCAAAAAATACTTGTTAAATAAACGTTTTCTACATGATTAAATAAATCTAATACAAACTAAAAGCACTATCTTTAAAATATTGGCTTGACTCTGATCAGGATTCACGATCAAACATCAATCAAAATCAATGAAGAAAAATACAAGAATTTTAATTTTTTTAACGATATGATTATAAATACTA